AAATCAGTTTGTTCAGATAAGGTTTGAAAATGAAAGAGAGATGGTGATTGGTTGCCATGCATAGTTGCTCCAGATTTTGTTTGCTCCAGTTTTGATAAATTCCCTTCTGTGTGTTCTACTATTAGGTTCTGGTTTAGTAACATCCTATTAGCTCAAACTTTTAAGCACAGTGCTCAGCATCACTCATTGCGGAGGTTAATCTTGCTCTATGGTAACCGACACGCATATATATCACACCACAATTCATATCCGTATATTTTTCTGAATATTTATAGAAAAATATACTTGAGAGAAGTGTGTATTTTTTCTTCAGGAAGGGGCAGCAGCGAACTGGGAGGGCCAAATGGTTCTTATTTGCTGTATATGTCCCTGTCAGTTAATGTTTAGTTTTATTAGTTTATCTTTAATATTCTGAAAAGTCGCTTAGGGTTTGTTAATATAAAGAAATTCAAATAGCAAACATATGGGCTAGAATATAGGGATGTTTAACTCATTTAAAGAATAATTCAACCCAACACCAAAAAGTCACTGTTTGGTGGGATCTAATGCCTTACAGGATCATTAGACCCTCACATGTTTTTGAATATACTGTATCTACTGCTAGCAAGCAGTAGATATATACAAAAACATTTTTTAAAAAAGAACCAAATAGGTTAAAACTTACCTGTGTCTCTGCCGTGCGCTCCCATCCGGAGATCTAATGATTCGCGGGTGGGCGCAAAGGATCATGGGGCGGGAGAAGAGGGGAGACACAGGGTAAGTCAATGCAGCAGCCTGCACCCGCACAGACTCTGTGGGACAGTAAGAGACAGGAGTCAGCACTGGATCAGAGACCGACACCAGCGCTGGAGGGAGATATATTTCACTATTGCAATCCCTCATTCTGCTTGCATTCTGGTTTAAACAGAACATTTGGATTATGACTCTACCCTCTTACCACCACTATCCACCATTCTGCTTTCATTTTGGTTCAGACAGAACACAGGGGTCGTGACTCCACCTCCACACAATTACCATCCTCCATTTTGGTTTGGGCAGAATAACCTGTGATCCAACAAGCAACAACAGCATTGCCAATCATGCCAGTAGAAATACCCAGTAATACATGGAAGGCAGAAGTGAAGATGGCTGTCAGAAATGGAGCACACAACCACGTGGCTTGTAGTGATACCAATATGTTGCACAAGGTGAAAAAAAGGAAAACCTTGACTGAGTGCAAGGCCAACCGTCACTGCTCACCTGAATAAAAACACTAACAGTCAATAATTTTAAGCAAACAAATATTTAACATGTGCATTACCATGGCCTATGTTACTGTATCAGCCACCGGCCACCCATAGTCTGGCCCATGTGGGTACACCCAATAACTGTCCCCGTGCCCTTACTGGCTTCAAAAGCTATTCAACCCAGTAGCTCCAACAATGGCAACTCCATACCACTCCGCCCCTTTTCCTTTTGCAGAGAGCCGGAACGCCTCATCGTAGAGGCTTTGCATTGCAGGGACTTGCTCAGTTGCAGACTAACCTAGAAGAACAGTATGTTAGCCACATCTTCTACTGCAACTTCAGCCAGTAACATCAAAAGTGACACCCCCGTTACTCATACTAGAATGGATGTGTCCCTCCTCCCCAACTCTACAATTGTAGAAACTAACTAGCCTTAAAACAAAACAACAGGCCTAAATAACTAAGGTGGGACTAATTCCCTTTGCTCTCCCATTTAACTGGCATGTATCAATCATGTCACTTTTCTTCCTAGTGCCCCAAAGGGAACTCTTGGTGCCTAACTTTTTTAGTAAAAATACATCCTTACATCACCACCATTTATTTCCAAGAGAGAAAAAGTACATCAATACTTAACTTCAAAACATTGTGTAAGGCTAGACATGCTTGCTTGAACACTCTGCTTGCCATGTGAATGGTGAGAGGGTTCTGCTTATCTCAGCGGAGAACAATAGCAATCAGAGCAGGTTCCCCAACCTGATCAGTGTTTCTACTGATGGCAAATGGCAGGGCAGGGTGAGAGTCTGTTCACAAGACCTCTTGCCAGATCCTGCCCAAAACAGCCAAATTAGGCAACTGTCATACCTACCATAATTAATAATTTTTTGTGTTTTTACAAATGTGCTTGTAGTGATTGCCATCTATACAGAAAGTGAGACCCGGAGAAAAAAGATCACATTTTAGCCTAAAATGTGAATCCTCTTCTCCAGATATCTTTTTCACAAAATTCTGGTCATGTGACAAAATGCCTGGGTTTTTGTTTATGTGGCGGGCCACCAGGGTAACCTTTTCTACAGCAAATGTAACTACTTCTGTAAACCTCTTCTAAAGGAGCTAAGCAAGCACGGGATCAGAGTAGGCTTCTTTGATTTGATTTTACTTCACTTTAAGTGGAGCTACAACCTCCTATCCCTTACAGCCAAGGAAGCTGCAATTTTACCCTCTATTTCGATTGCAGTTATGCTGCGCATGTGGCCAGCTGTCACACCAGTCATTCCAACCAAAGCTACTTCCTGTCTACATATATGTATTCCAGTGATGGCTTCATAGCATTTCTCAGAGCAAGTTACCCGATGTGGACAACAGTGGACCATGCCTGTGCAATCAGTGTTAAATTAGCCACTTTTACTCTCCATCATAAGTCAGTGTGACACAGTGACAACGAGGCTTAGTAGTTAGCATTTCTGTCTTGTAGCACTTGGGGTTCTTGGTTCAAATCCTGGTCAGGAGACTGTATGCACGGAATTAGCATGTTCTCCTTGTGCTTGCATGAGTTATCTAGTTTTCTCCCACAGTCCAAAGACATGCTGGTATATACCTCCCAACTATTTGAAATGAGAAAGAGGGACATATTCCAGCACAGTGTAATGTACAAACCCTAGTATATGTCAAAAGTTACTGGTTAAACCCAAAATTGTTTTTTTTCACCATTTAATTTTCTTTGTACTGAATTTTCAAAATGGCGAACAAGTTAATTAAGAGATAAGATGAAGGTTTTAGTCCAGAATAACACTATTGGTAGTTAAACAGTAAATTATTTTAGACATCTGTATATCAGAGCAAAAGGGGGGACAACTGAGGAAGAAAGAGGGACAGAGGGATTTGGTTCTAAATGAGGGACAGTCCCTCCAAATGAAAGACATTTGGGAGGTATGCTGGTAGGTTAACTGACTCCGGTCTAAATCAGCCCTAGTATGTGTGCATGTGTATATATGCATGTGAGATCGAGACCTTAGATTGTAAGCTCTTTGCATCAGCAGGGACTGATGGGAATGTGTATGTATGCATGTGAGATCAGGACCTTAGATTGTAAGCTCTTTGCATCAGCAGGGACTGATGGTAATGTGTATGTATGCATGTGAGATAGAGACCTTAGATTGTAAGCTCTTTGCATCAGCAGTGACTGATGGTAATGTGTATGTATGCATGTGAGATAGAGACCTTAGATTGTAAGCTCTTTGCATCAGCAGGGACTGATGGGAACGTGTATGTATGCATGTGAGATCGAGACCTTAGATCGTAAGCTCTTTGCATCCGCAGGGACTGATGGGAATGTGTATGGTAATGTGTATGTATGCATGTGAGATAGAGACCTTAGATTGTAAGCTCTTTGCATCAGCAGGGACTGATGGGAACGTGTATGTATGCATGTGAGATCGAGACCTTAGATCGTAAGCTCTTTGCATCAGCAGGGACTGATGGGAATGTGTATGTATGCATGTGAGATCGAGACCTTAGATTGTAAGCTCTTTGCATCAGCAGGGACTGATGGGAATGTAAATTGTCAGCACTATATTGTTATTGGAACTAGAAACTGTTATTAGGCAGATAGACAAAATACCAGTAGGATACGATCGTATGAGAAATAGAAATTGAGACCACACAGATATCAGTTATGAGACTATTTCTGCTTTATTGAAATGGAGGACTACATGTTTCCAAAGAACCTGACTCATAGTCCTACTTGTAACTGAGGGTCAAACTCACCTCAGAACCAATCTAATCTAGAGCTGCAGTGGGAACATTCATTGTCCACCCTACATGCTGCAAGATGTGATAAGACCAACTCATATAACTTGGGAAAGGTGGTAGAGAGGGAATCCCTCTTCGTATAGTGTTGTCATCCTATAACAGGAAGTTATTACTTTAATGAGAGTTGTAAATTTAAAAAAAAATGAATGACTTTGAAATGTCTTTAACATGTCCAAGATTTGTGATTATGCTGGAAAATCTCAGTGGCCAAACAACTCCATACGTCACATCTATTGGTCAAATGAGCCGAAGAGAAACACGAAAGCTAATAACAGGTCCTAGCACCGGGAAGACGTCCATCCACAATTCATCATGGATGGTTAGAGATCTGCCCATCTGTGGCAAACCGTAGTAGTACAGTACATAACCAGCGTCAATGTCCATGGAAACTATATTGAAATGTTGCCAGTTTTGCCTTTATCAGCCCAGCTGCACAGCCACACGCGCGAGAGGCTAGGGGGGTTCGCAAACTAGTCTGTAGCAAGCAGCACACATTAAAACAATAATAAATACATTCACACAGGAACTTCTATCCTCCCCACCCCCTTATCCCTCCTTTTCAAAAGTGCTGTACTTTAAAAGTTTTTTTTTTTTTCCTGGCAGCTTGGTGGAAATACAGAGAGAGCTCCGTCTAATAACACACATAGGAAAAGGAAACTGTTGTATAATGCATCCTCATCCCTGTGCACACACAGTCACACACACAAAAGTTTCCTCTGAAGTCCAAGGGATTCTTTCATTCTCATTCAGCACATCCTCAGACAGAAGCATTTGGGAGTAAATATTTGACATATTCTTCAATCTTCTCTCCCACCTGCGGTCCAGTATTCCTGGCTAAAGTGATGCGGTCACTGCCGGTGACAGAAAACGAGTGACATTCTTTTGTATACCGGTGGCCCCGCTGCTGACGTCGGTGTGTTTTGGGGCTCTTCTGCACCCTTTTCCATTTTTTCTTTACTTTTTATCCTGGGAATAAATTAGATTGAGGGTTTGTTTTTTTAATTTTCCTGGTGGCGATACGGAAATCTCTGCGGAGGGGAACACTGGAAATGAAGAGAGTCCTCTGCATGCTTTTCGGCATATGGCTGGCTACTGTTGACAGGAGAGGTAAGAGTTTTGGTCTCTTTAAACGTGAGTCTGTTTTGCCTGATAAATAAGAGCATACGTGATTTCAGTATTGTTCAGATTAATGATCTTCAAGGATTCAGAAATAGTGTAGTGTAAGGGTTAAAGGGGAGACAAGCACTTGTTGCGACAAAACTGCATCAGTTTCAGTGATCTTCAAGCGCGCCTGAAGCTTTCTGGGATCGATTGAGGGCTCGCATCATTGTGAGATCTGTATTCGCATAGTAAGGTGAGATTGAGACCTTGTGTCGAAAAGGAAGCAGCCAACGAGGAATTCATTTAATGCTACCAGGAGATAAAAATGTTTGCATGTAATTGAGTCCTAAAAATTGCCCCCCCACCCACCCCCCTTCTCCTAAAAAAAGCAATAATATTGTTACTGAAGTCCCAAGCTGGAACTACAGCTCAGTTCCATTTGAGGTTTTTATTTGATTCTTTTTATTATTATTTTATATTATTTGTAGAGTGAAGATGTTTTGCAGCATTTTAAGTAGCATAACAACAGAACAAATATTGGAAGGGTTGTGTGCACAAGAGCTTACAATCAAGCAGTACCTGGCAAATTAGACTAACGATGAGGGATTCTTGTCTTGCTCCTCAGTGATTAAAAATGTCCCATGTATAAGCTCTGTTATCATGAGACATAGCAAGCAGGTATGGTGGAAGTGACACATTATCATACTTTTGAGGCTCTCGCCTCATTTTTTTAACTTTGTCCTTGAATGTTTTTACCCCTGATTCTAAATAGTGATCATTTTCGCTGTCATATTCCTTTCATTGGTAGTAGCAACCATTTGGATGTTTCTTACCTGTCTATTATCAGTTCCTAAAAGCTTTGTATTATTATGGTGGGGATAACATTTTCACGGCCAGGTAAACTATTGTTGGTGTGCCAAATATTTGGCGCATGGAAACCTGCTTTTTGAATAGTTCAGTTTGAAGGGTTTGAAAAGAAAGATGCGACTAGCACACCAATAAACAAATCTGGTGTGTCTTTTCGCACCAAAAGGTCTTACAGTCTGCACAGGATAAATATTTTTGACTCAATAGAGGTGCGTAGCATTGCACCCAGAGAATGATGGTACAAGACGGTTACACATTCTCCTATGCCGCAAATCAATTATACGCTCTGTGGCATAACAGTTTTGTTGTCATGCAATACGTCAAAACAAGATGTCATCTGCAACAATTTGCATTCCTCAACAACCACCAATCTTACCTTATCTGGCATATTGTGTTTTTATGTTACTAGAATTTAATAGAACCATTTTGTAATATTCACGACCTGCCTTATAATATCAAGGGATTTACAAACGCGTGAGCCAAGCATACAAGCAACCAATCAGAAGCCTTGTTTCGTTCGATGATTGCAGAGCAGAGAATAAAATCTTGGTTGCTATCGGCAAAAGCCCCATCAGATGCAACACTTCATCTTTATGACTAAAAGCGCAGTACGTCCATCTCAGTTCTGAAATGAAATCCCAAATTATTAACACACAGCACAAGTAAACCATATGTCGGCCTGTTACACCCAAAATGTAAACAAGGCAAAATCTTGACCGCAGTAGACCCCTGTTTCCAAACGCCCATAAACATCATGCAACATCTGCTATTGTCAGGGAAGGGCTTACATAGGATTTAGACTGTAAAACGCACATCACAGCTAATCACTAGGAACTATTTGAACTTTTATAAGTGCTACACCACAACCTCCAACTCTTAATTAAATGCTGCCGCGCTAACTACTTAACCCCTAATATATAAAGCCAACAAAACTTGGAGGACATCTGTTGTCTGTAGATCTGGAGACATATGTTTAATAACATATATACTAGAAATGACAAATACGTACTCATACTTCTATGGCTAAAAGCCAGCTCAGCTGTCGTGGATTTTTGGTCTCCTTCAAAGGCTTCCATAGTAATATAAAACTGTCCATCCCTAACACATATGCCAAGTACACCTGAGCTGTCCACTTCTGGGACACAGGATTATGTATGAAGGCACAGCAAAATGCTGTGATGCTGAGCAAAATGCGGTAACCCATAGCAACCAGTAACAGCACACATGACATGAAGGATGACTGGTGATTGGCTGCTATAGGCTGCTGCCCATTCCTTTTCACCTTTTAATTATGTTGAGTGTGTTTTCTAATCAGGATGAAGAAAACAGCCCCTCTGAAAACAAGTTGCAATTAAATCTTTCATACTTCTATTCTGACAGGTTCCCTTTAAAAGTAGTTTTTGTATTTCATTTAATTCATGCATTGCATATGGAACAATTACAAGAAATTGACAATATCTTTGTTAGATTACAAATTGCTAAACTTTTAGTTAAACACAGTATTTACATTTACTATACAGTGCTCTGTCTTTCTGGCATTTCATAAATAGCATCTGTGACTTTTATTTGATTCTCTTTACCTACTCTTTAGACAGAATGTCTACCTACAGTATCCATTTGTCTTTGTACTATCTATCTATCTATCTATCTATCTATCTATCTATCTATCTATCTATCTATCTATCTATCTATCAATCCGTCCATCCTTGTATTATCTATGTATGTATCTATCCATCTATCTATCTATAAATCCGTCCATCCTTGTATTATCTATCTATACATCCATCCTTGTATTACCTGTCTCTCTATCTATTGATCCATCCTTGTTTTATCCATTCTATCTATCTATCTATCTATCTATCTATCTATCTATCTATCTATCTATCTATCTATCTGTCTGTCTGTCTGTCTGTCTGTCTGTCTGTCTGTCTGTCTGTCTGCCTGTCTGTCTGTCTGTCTGTCTGTCTGTCTGTCTGTCTGTCTGTCTATCTATCTATCTATCTATCTATCTATCCATCTATCTATCTATCCATTCTTGTGTTGTCTATCTACAGACCAGAGGTGTCCGGAGCGGTTACCGGGTGACACCACGCGTGTCATTAACACGATCTTAGTTATACCTGCCGGCGGCCATCTTGGTGATGGATGCCAACAGAGAGAGTAGGGGACAGTCACCCGGCGGGATAAGGTATGCCGTCGGGTCCCCTCCTCTCTCCCGAAACCATCAGGCGCTCGGTCAATGACCGAGTGCCTTACTTTTCAGAGGAGGTGACACCAAAATGACTGTCAGTCATTTTGGTGTCACCTCTCCATTGATGTCACCCGGGTGTGGGCCGCACCCCCCACAACCCCCTTGTGATGCCACTGCTATAGACCCATTTTTGTATTATCTGTATATCTATTGATCTATCCTTGTATTATCTATCTATCTATCTATCTATCTATCTATCTATCTATCTATCTATCTATCTATCTATATATCTATCCATCCTTGCATTATTTAGAGATGCATCTTTGTATTACTGATCTATCTATCTATTGATTCATCCTTATATTATCTAATCTATCTATCTATCTATCTATCTATCTATCTATCTATCTATCTATCTATCTATCTATCTATCTATCTATCTATCTATCTATCTATCTTATCAACCTATCACATTTACAATAAAATTAATGTTTGTAAAGTAACGTTACTATTTGCAAATAAATTCTGATCTCATTAATGACACCTCTGAATATGGTAATCTTTAGATGGAAATCTCTTTGTATACTTGACCTCCACATTTATTCCCTGTACCCCTATTTCTCTTTCCCAGACCTTACGGGCAAGCCCTATTTTTTTGCGTTTGCAGTGGAACGGAACGCTGGCAAAGTTTTGCCAGGTGTCCGATCGCACTGCGGGCTGGGGGGGCGTGGAAGCGGTGCCATTGAGTTCAATGCACTGCCACGCTCCCTCTCGCCCCAAAACGCAAGGGGAAGTTTCTCAGCTACTGCTCTGGAACGCACACGCCTTCGGTGTGAACAAGGCCTTACACTTCTTTCAATCTGCTACAAAATGTGTTATACATTTTCCTTTACCCTGTAACAATGAACTATCCAGTGGCGGAACTGCCGCCGGTGCGGGCGGTGCCGCCACAGCGGGGCATGAGCCTACGAGGGGCCCAGTATCTTTGCAAACATAGCCCTGGGGCAGAGATGGGGGGCCCGTTGGTGTCCGGCCGCCGGTTACCATAGGATTGGTATGCGGTGGGCCCCCCCATATCTGCGCCGGGAGGGCTCACATTGGCTGACAGGCCCCCTGTGTGTGACGTGTCCATTTAAGCGCGCCCATGTACTCAGGCGGCTGTCTGCTGGGTTCTCACGTTCGTGGCCCAGGGCTGTCCTCTGCAGTGCCCTACTAATAAATAAAATCATTATTTTTTTTAGCCCAATGATGGCATTGCTGTATAACGTACAGCTGGTATTTGTAGTTCTATATAGCAGGTCCCATTCTGCATTGCAGCAATGCAGAATGGCACCCTCTATAGGACTACAAATCTCAGCAGTACTTTATACAGCAATGCCATTTTTCCAACTTTTTTTTTTTTGTGGCTGCTAAAGGGGATGTGGGTTAGGGGGGTTTGTGGGGAGTTTTTTTTTGTTCCCTAGGTCCGCCACTGGAACTAACAGTAAGTTTGTCTTTGAACTTCAACCTGTATATCCCACTACTGGACATAATAAGGCAAAGAGGAAAGAAAAAGAAAATATGCATATTAAAATGAAATAAGACAAGGGATAAAGTATCAACTAATAAGTATGTATCTTTCATAGACTTGACATCACTAAAAATATGATTTGTAGCTATTCAGCACCATTATTCATTGTACTGCTCCTACAAGCTGACCATTCTGACACACACTGACCAACCATTATATTTACCACAATTTGTAATCCTTTACACAACAGGTACTCTTCTGAAGTAATTAAATAATTATTACACTGTCTACTACCTGACCTGTCTTCAGGTCTTGTCCTGTTGCAACTATTACAGATCACTATCAGTCAACACTGACAGGCAGACACTCTTGTAAAAATCACCAATCTATTACCGCTACCTGTTGTTCCTATTTCAGTTCCTACAATGTATACTAAAG